ACTCGCCCAACTTGTTGTCACCGAGCCTCCCCTTGATAGTTCGATTAGTGTAAAAGTGAGTCTTCAATGCATTCCGCTTGACAAATTCACGCGATACGTGGCACCACAGTCCAACAGAAACTTGGTACCGAATTTGTTTCCACCCTGTACCATTGCTCCTTCAATCGAAAACAACAGTGCACGGTTGTAGACGAGAGGGTCGTCACAAAATAGATTCAACGTATCCTCGTTTTTGGTTAAATCTTCTTCACTAGTCTTCTCCACGTCAGGTCCCTCTTCTACTAGCGTGGCTAATCCTTTCCCTCGTCACTCTTCAGCTTCTTGCAGTCACGCTTGAAGTGTCCAGGCTTCTTGCAAAAGTAGCACACATACCCTACCTTGGTCTGTTCCGCGGGGACGAAGTGACCCGGATTGAAGGACTCCTTGCTGAACGGACTTCTTGTCGCGGAACTGGCTGGAGCTCGTCCGTCCACGGGCTGTTGCTCACGCCTCGGTTTCTCGCGAGTTGCCTTGTGTTCACCACTTAAATGAGACATCTCATATTTGGCAGCTTTGTCTATTGCCTCACTCAGCGGCGTCGCATTCTGAAGCTTGACGTAGGCTTGTGTCGCACGCTTGAGTCCGTCACAGTAGGTGCTGACTTGGTGGGCTTCGCTCATGTCCTCAACACGGAAGATCAATGACGAGTACTTGCCGTTGTACTTCTAGATGTCATTGACCTTGTGGAGTTGGCGAAGCTTCTGTCGTAGCACGGCCTGGTAGTTGGAGGCTTTGAGGGCATCATCCGTAAACCGGCGTCATGTCTGCTCGTCCACAGATGTTCTGGAGGCCCAGAACAGAAACCATCCTGATGCAGGTTCCTCCGTCGCTGTCCCAGCGATCAAAGATAGCGTGTGGTTGTCGTATGCTGCGTCATCGCCGTTGATCCGGCACAGTGTCTCATCTTCAAAGCGCCACTGGCGCACGTCCTCGTCGCGCTTCCCCTTAAACTTCGGCGGGCCCCTCGAAACGCGAGGTTAGGACCCCGTCGGTTGCTGGCGTTGTGCTCGATTGTTCGCTTGGTGAGCTAGGATATCAGAGCGTAGTTGTACAAGCTGCGCTTTCAGCTCCACTTGTCTCTCTCCTCCCGGAGACGGCGCGTCTTGGTCGTTCTTGCGCGTGGCGGGGGCCATGGTCGTCGAGTCTTAACCAACAAGTGCTATCAGTATATCAATCCGGCCCCTTGAAGGCGGAAGAGAAGGAAGAAGAGAGTCTTGGGGCTGGCGTGGAGAAAGCGAAGTGTGCTGGTCTCCCTGACCAACTGCTCCCAACCAAACAACTGGTTGAGAGAGCCGCTCAATTAGTTAATACTATCTCTAATATCATACTTTTCGATTCTCGTATGCAGTCTACTTGAAACACCGGTGAGGAAGCATAGAACAGGTGCGATCTCCACGAGATCGTTGTCGGATGACGTGCGCTTGCCGTTTGGGAGTCCGGATGGACACAGTATCCCCGTCGTAGGCGATGACTTGGCCAATTACGTACTTATCTTCGTCAACCCTGAATACCGGATTACGCAGCCACCCCCTGGCGCACCATTGTTGTACTCAGATGCATCCAGCCGCCGATTGCGTTCGATTGAGGTGTGAACGTGGATGGTTCCATGGGGTGGTGCAAGGAGTTTGACCGTTACCAATGTTCCGGAAACGGGGGTCACGGAGCGGTAGGAAGGCGTTGTAACTAACTTTCCTGGAGCATCTTCCGGCATGAGTAGCACATGGACGGTGGAGGGCACCTTGCTTTGGA